CACGTATAACGAATTTGCTGTATAAAATTTAACTTACTAAATTCTTTTGTAAGTAATGTCTCGAAATAAATTCCATTTGGGTTTGAAAATTGTTTTATGCTAAAATAAAACTTCCTAGACAGTATTTTCATGGAATTTTGTTACATGAATATCTAAAATACATGAACTTAAGTTTCATGTATTTTAGAATGCATACATTCTAAATACATGAACTTAAGTTTCATGTATTTTAGAGCTAGGCAATTAATTACAATACATTAAAGATTTACTGATGCGAAAACATATCTTTGTTTACCTCAACTGTACCTGAAATGGCTCAAATGACCTATAAAAAAGAGCAGGGCTGAAAAATGGTTCATTTTTTGGAAACAAAATGCAATTTCTGTCCATGAATTTAGATCAAACATACAAATGATGTTTTGGTTTGGATTACTTGATTATGGTAAAGAACATTAGGGCTACTGGCCTAAGAAAAAAGGGGGCTTTGTGGAAGACTTTCTGAGCAAAACTGGCATGTAATCCATGTTACACATGGGGAAATTTACAAACACTCCCCTGCAGCTAGCCTGTTTGTTTAGAATTGATGATTTGGTTTATCCGATTGCAGCAGATTCTCATGCTGGAGTTTCGCTTCACATGTGAGTGACTGTTCGTATCTTCTACCTGTTATCTGTTGTGCATAATGGAGGGGAATGAAAATCCCTCACCAGTTCCTAGTCGAAGTGATATTAAGGATGCGGCTCACCGCCACGTGTTAGGCCTACCTGATGACATACTGGATTACGGAAACGATTTGCTGGGTGATGGATGGCAAGAACTTCCGGTGAAAGAGAACTTATCTTTAGAGGAATTTATGTGTGCTTCATAACTGTGACAAAATCATTAAGATATTGCTAGAATGGACATTTTTTTCTTCTTTTTTTTCTTTTTTTTGAACGCACTGCCAAAGTTGTTCCTATCGAAGAAGAACTGAAGCAGGTGTATCTAAGACATTGAAGTATTGCTGAAGGTTTACTGAACACTATAAAAGGTAAGTGTGAGTCTTACTGTGCTAAGAACCCTAGTGATGTAGAGCTTAAGGATAAGAATGCCGTTAGGTCTGTACTTGGTATGAAAAATGCTGATGTTGTTAAAAATGTTGCTTTAGTTAAAAAGGTGGCTATTGCTAAAAATGTTGATGGTGTTAAATGTGCTGATGTTGTTAAAAATGTTGCCGTAGTTAAAAAGGTGGATGTTGTTAAAAATGTTGATACTGTTAAAAATGTTTCTGAGTAATGTGTACCTGATAACGTTGTTATCTGCTTGACTGAAATTACTAACCAGGAGGCAAGTAAAACTCCTTTGCCCAAAAAGGGCTTCAAAAAAGAAAGTTAAGCGTTTAATTAATGAAACTCGAGATGTAGATGGCTTTATTCAGCCGAAAAACAAGGCACGCCCTTCTAAAATAATCAAGGCGAATGTTGATATTACCACTAACAACAAATTCTCAAATTTTCAAAGTCTTCAAATAGTATTTGAAGTCTTTGAAGATATTTTTGGTTCCACCGATAATGAAAAATAATCTATTAATCTTTGCCTTTGCTCCTCATTTTACCATTCCACTTCTATTGTTTTGTTATATGTTCTTAGCACTGTGGGTTCACATTAATCCTTTTCCTTTTAGCAGTTATTCACCAGTCATGCACCTGTTCATGTTACTGTAATTACTCTTTATATGTTACAGTTATCTCCATCATAATTCGGAACCGCCTAATACGTTCCACAAAGGGTTCCCAGGTACCCAGGTGTTTGGACACTATTCCATTGGATCGATTGCAGCAAAGCAAACTAGAGCCATCTGCTAAGTGGAGGAATCCCTTCATAGATGAATTTCTGAAGGAAACTGGCTCGTATCCACCTTATACATGAGAAAAACTACGAAAACGCCCATGCAACGTGCCCGTCTTCTGGAATCGAAATCAGGTCGAACTACCAGTGTTCAGCTACTTCACAGCTCAGCCGATGAGTTCTTGTTTGGAACTGAACGCAGGTTAGATTACCAGTATTTGGCTACTTTACCACTTGACCGCTGTTGGGTTCTAAAAATGATGTAATGGGCTAATATATAATTGCTTTATATATATGTAAACTAAATGCCTAGTTTATATATAAATGTATATAAATAATATGTATGCAGTTTAATACTTAAAATAATCTGAGAAAATTAATCAAATAAATCTATCCATCCAAATCCTATCAGTTGCAGGAAGAAGAGCAACAAATTGCAAAATTATAGCATCAAAATCCTAAACAAGCTTATAAAAGCTTAAGAAATTTTTTTTAATTTGTATTTTGAGTTGGAAAAAGAAATCATATAAATACAAGCAATCCAACTCGTGAAAAAATAATGACATATAAAAATTTAAAACCATACAGGGCATACCAAACTTTTTTTCACAAATTTGTAGCATCAGAATCACAAATAAGCAAAAAGGCTTTAACAAATCTATTAAAAATTATTTTCTATTTACACGGAAAGAGTTTCCAAAAAAACAAAACACGTAAACAGAAGCAATACAATAAATGAAAATATAATAACCACTGACAATTTGATCCAAAACAAACATAAAATAAAAAGAAGAGATAGTTTCTAAAATCTGTAACAGTAGAGCAACAAAGGTTTGTAATTATTATGCATATAAGCATGTATACTTATCAGAATTAATGGGACATTTTATCAAAAACAATTTTTAAATTTTAGGCAATTCTTATGGTTATACCGTTAAGCCCTGGTAAGACCAACCTACTTCCAGATGTTGAGGAACCGACTGGCTGCATGAGCATTTCTGTAATTTCCCTGATGCATGAAATGAACGCTAACCAGTTTCCTATAAATCCTACCTGAGGGCATTTTATCTTTCAGGTTGAGAAGCTTTGTCTGCTTTGCCTTTATTCATTGAAATCAGACAATAGTAAACAACATCCCCTAGTAAAACAAAAGCATAACATCGGGAAAGGAAAGAGATGATAAGCAGTTCTTAAGCGAAAGGGTCTTTGTAAGAGTAAAGGTCCTACCTGTGGCAGCCGAATACTGGTAGTTCGACCGGGATTCGATCCCAGCCGAAAACGTTGACTGCATGATTTGTTTTCGTGGATTTCCACCTGTGGAATGTGAATACAAGTCAGTTTTCCTATGAAATTCCTTCATGAAAGCATTCCTCACTTTAAGCAAATAGCCCTCATTTTCTCTGTCATACTCTAATAACTAGCCATACATTAAAAAAGAGACAGAAGATTCTCTTTTTTAATGTATGACTCCTAATGATGTCAAAAACTGCAGTTTTCTCCCCTCCCCCCCCTTCAATGCAAAAAATACACATCGATCAATTGATGTTGAAATCCATAAAACTTTACATAAAATCAATGTGAATTTGTATTTTTTCCATTTTTTATTTACATGTCAGACAGTTTACATGTGCGTGAACTGAAACTTGACATGGACAATAAGCTTCTATGCAGTATAAGTGCAGAATGTTTCCATATTAACTTTCTTTTGAACATTCAAAATTTAATATTTTGTAAATGTAATGGAAAGAAGTTTGCATTTAACATTATGAAAATATAGTCTCTAGTTTCTAAAAGTCTACTGTCACTAGTTTTTCAAATAGAAATATCGTTTATAATGTAGATTAAAGTTGTATATTAACTTATAGCAGCAGGGAAAGAAACTCGAAAATCATTTTATTCAAATGTTTTGGTCATTTCATTCAAATTTATACAGCAACTGACACTGAAATATTTACAGGATGGCATTCAGATTGCTTTCTAATTAAAAGTTGTTAATAAGATAAAGTTTTATCCTGTAACAATAAAGCTTGCTTTAAACTGAATAATTTTGACATTATACAATATTAAATTTTTAATTAAAATGTAGACAAATAACTCAGCAATTCTTCTGAAAGTTAAAATGCAGTTCTAATTTAGAACTTAAAAATTTAAATGTAATATTAATAAATTTGACATTTGTGAAATTCTTAACAATTACTCAACACAAATGACAATATTGTGCATTTCTTTTGAAGCAATTAGACATGAATGAAAGACTGAATGATTTTAAGATGAAGCATTGTTATTAATAACCAATAAATAAAACAAAAATGCACATAATTTGACGTAATTGACATCAAACTTGGTAAAAAGTATTTCATTGTTATAACAAAAATTTTAAAGATGGCCCCCTTTTCATTTTTGTATCTACAATATTACTATCCGATATTACTAATCGTGAAAGAAATGGGATATGTTTATATTACTTGATAAATTAAACAAATAAATAAATAGCACAATAATACGTTTAGTTGTAACAGAAATAAGTATCCTTATTTTATTTAACTAATTTAAAATATTTAATGGAACTATAATTGCATAATAGACTTCTGTATTCATAAATGTGGTTATAAGAAGCATAAAACAAAAATTAAATATTAATGTAGGGTTCTGTATAAACATTTATTGCTTTATATTCTAATATTTAGATTAATAGGAAAGGCTTATCTTGCTGAAACGTCGTAGAAACTAATAATTAATTTCTGCTTCATACAAATACCTCAGTCATAGAAAAAGCCAGGGACACGGGATAACGTTTTTACAGAACAAAGTTGAAGGCTGTATGGTTCATCCCTGCCCCAAATAACCCGAGGGGAAACTGAAGCTTTGAACACGCTTCAGTTTTATAACTCTCCCAACTTGAATGCTTAACAGACGGAAAACGAATGGGGGGGAAGAAATGTTTTTGCTGGAGGCAAAACCATTTTGAGACACCCTGAGTCTTGGAGGCAAGCCCGTTTTGCGGACAAAAGTGAAAACTTTTGTGAGACATTTTGAACTGTTTTCGCCATCAAAATAAAAACCAGTAATGGGCTAAAATGACAATTTCATGATATTGCTTCACAAAAGAATACACATGATTTACAAAAAAGTATATGCAGACTTTCTGAGTTTGAAAAAAAAATTATACCTACTTCTTTTTCTTCTGCATGTGAATTTTTAACTTGTTGAAGCTGAGTTAATAATTCTTCAGTCTGTTCCTTGGCATTTTTAATTAAGTCATTTTTAATATTCAGTTCTGCCTGTAGCTGACATTGCTTATGTTTATATGTGCTTAGTTCTTCCTGAAGTGCATTCCTATCAGAAAGGGGGAAGCAATTATTACATGATTACAAAAAGAAAAAAAAGGGAGAGAAAAGATTTTTTGAACTAACTACATGAAATTTCATTCTTCACAACACTGCTTAACTGGAAAGTTTGGGGGGAAAAGAAAGCTAGTCTAAAAACCAGGTAATTCATTTTTTTAATTAATTTTATACTGTTTCATTTTGTACATAAAAATGCACATTAAATAAAGACATATATACACCAATGATGAAGTGTGAAATCTCTGTCCAAGAGATGTATTCCAAGTACCTATGTTCATTGATTAAGACTGACATAATTTTTAAAGCACAAGCTTTGCCTTTCTGTATAAATAAATCAAAAATTCTGCAATCTAAGAATTTTAGAATAATCTAGAAGAGTTAAAGTCATAAAAAGGCGTTTGCAATACTTAAACATTTTCAAAACCTAAAGATAATAAAATTTTGAAATAACTGAATCTAATCTTTGTATATTAATACTAGCTTAAACAAATGTAAACTACCTAAAACAAATGTAAAATAAGTTACTGGGGGGAACATACTATAACGTTATTTCATTATATATTAATTTCACATACAATTTATGTACTCATCTATTTTTTTAAATAATTGCCTAAGACACAGTTAAGAATTTATAGAATAAGATTGCTTGTACTCAAAACTAGCAATAACTATTCTCTCAAGAGGCAGTGCTCTCTATTTTGACATGAAGTAAAATCCACAAACTAGAAATAATCAACTCCTCAAAACATGTTAAGGTATTTACAAAATATTTTACATGTTCTAAAAGAATTTATTTGTAGACTACCACTGAAATTCACAATATTTCAAAACAGAATTTCTCAAGCAGAAAAACCTATGATTATATGATTTATTATTATTTATAATTTGCTCTTTTTAATTAATATTTATATATTTAAATTACAAGACTTTTTCTTCACAAACTTTCTTCAGTTTCATATATAAACTATTAATTTAGCAGTCTGAAAATAATAATTATAATAAAAATAAAATATTAAACAACTGTAATTACAGATGTGTTTTAAATTAGAAGAAATGCTTAAAATAAAAATATTTAAACTTGATTCATGAAAAATGTACTCAAATTCTTCAGATCAACTGGGATAAGTGTTCATACAAATAAGAAAAAGATTCAGATAGTCAAATTGCTTTTAAAACACTTTTTTTTCCATTAAACAAAATGCAAAATACTTATTTCTGCAAACCTGAATGATGAAATTATTTTTCATTTTTCGAAGCATTTCATACTACATTCAAGTATTCTACTCTCCTCCAAAATACAAATTTTAAAAAAAGTCTATCAAAAACTGATAGAGAAGTACCTGCCTGTGGTTACACTGCTAACACTAAGATATTAATTCCATACATGAAGCAGAGTAGGCATAAAATCACAATGCCACATTTACTCTATCTTTTCAGGAAAGAGGTATTGCTTTTCTAGTGATGTTTATAAATCTAAATACTTATCAAATGATGTGTCATTACATAATTTATATAGATTCACATTTTTTTATATTTAAATTTTAAAAAACATACAGAAAGCTTTCCAGCTTAATAAAAGCAGAAAATTTAATTTTAATTGGCTTCAAAAGAACAAATCCAAATAATTAAAGCTCCAGACTAGAGTACTATTGTAATTGTTTTGAAACTAATATATTCAACAATTAGCTGCTTCAGTTCTTATTAGCTCTTCAGCGGTTGCAAGATCAAAGCCTTTCTTGCCAAATATGCATGATATTTGTCAGTCATAGCTTTATATGAGCTGTGTTGTTTGTGCCTATTGTGATGCATAACTGGAATGCGAGCTGAGCTCATTGATCACCATCATAAGGTTAACATATTATAGCAAAAGCCAGCAGTGTAGCCATTTTGTGAAATGGCCAGACACTTCTTCAGCCAGTAATATGGGCAAAGCCCAAAATGCAAAACAATTTATTATTACTTTGGACTATGACTGGTCACTTCTAGATTTTCTTAAGGAGAACAAATTACCAAAATTACAAATTATCATCACCTTTTAATGGTTTTTCGAGATTTATGTTTTTCGCGAAAACATATATTAGGACTACCTATAAATAATTGTAAAATAAAATATTTTATTGCTTAAACTGTGGTATCTTTAAAATACTCTTAATATTAATGAATGCAGTTCCAGTGGTTTTAAAGGCCACTTACTACAAATAGCTTCTGGGTGGATAGTTACTAGGATAGGGCACAGCAATGTTTGCCATAGAGGCAATACTTGCCAAAACAAGATGACGATAAGTACATGGTAAGATAATATAACTTCACAAAACATAATATTTAAAAAACTTTAGAAAGACTCTGTTAAGGAGCTTCTACTGACATCCAAATGCAATATAGTAATGATCATTCATTTACCTATTTTTAAGTAATTTTTACACCTTTCAGAAAAATGCTTTTGTTTATTTATTTTATCAGAATATCTTCAGAACTGAGTGTGCCAAAACGGCAACCTTCACAAAGATACCTCAACATAAAGACAAAAAGAAAGCAAATTTTAGGAGCTGCTAGTGGGACATTGCATGCAAATAAGATTTTCATTTGTTTTATTAATAAGAGTAGCAAATTAAGCCCTTACTCACATAGTGGTATCAGTATACCAGCACCTTTATGTAGGCTGCTTTTTTTAAGTTAAAGGCTGATCTTCATCTGGGCATAGGCATCCTTATACTGGGACTCTTGTGAAATTATAAAGGAGCTGATATTTTCACAATGGAGCATAAAGTTTATATAGTAACAAGGAGAATACATATATATTGTACAAGAAAAAAATAATAAAAATCCTAGAAATGGATACAGCAAAATAAAATAATGAACAGCGAAATAAAACTAAACAGATAGTGAAAACAACACTTACTTTTCATCATTTAGTACTCTCATTTTTGATAAAAATTTTCCTTGCATAAGTTCAATCACTCGGCCAATTTTTTTCACTAAACTGTCTATCTGATTCAGTTGAATTTCCAGGGATATCTTTTTTTCTTCTTCAGAATTTAAATGATCTGAGAAAGGAATATCAGATTCTACACTCTGTTGACGTACAGGACGGAATGCAGTTGCCATACCTATTGGCTTAAAAGCACTGTTAGCTACAGGAGAATTGTCTTTACTAGGTGAACTAATACGACTTAAATCACCATTGATACTACTTAAGTTCTCAACTGAACTTTTTACAGAATCTGAATTTTGTTCAGAACAGGATTTGATCACAATTTGCTTTAATGATTTTGGATCATTTTTCGTAGACTGCTCAAAAGCACGAACCATGGATTGTACAAGAGACAATGGACGTTCACTTTCACTGGAAGCAGAGGAATACAAAGGGCTTCCTGGCTCATAAGCTGAAATATCAGGTAGAGATTTATGAGTATCTAAGTGTTTTTCGTTTGAAAAAGAGTTAGTGTGAGAGAAAGCAACTGCACTGGGTATTTGAGAATCAGAATTCAAAATGCCATTCTGTTTCACAGGAGATTCGCTTCGTTCTCCCTCACTATCAAGGTCTATCATCACTTCTTCCAGCATCTGAATATGAAAAATTACAGTTATTAATTAAATGAATGCTTAAAATATATAATGTATTTCATTCAATTGTAAAATGTTCATTAATTCCTATGCAATACTTCTACTTGCATAAATAAATACCTTAATTGCACTGGGTTAGTGGAAAAGTCTCTCTCTCCCCACTTTTTGAAAATCAAAAGAAAACCATCTTTATATAGTAAAAATTATTAAATTTATTATAAAACAAGAAAATTTCCTTTGTGTGTTTGTCAGTGGCCATCACATAATGCACAGGCAGAGATGCTCACAGCTTTGAAATCTGGCACACAGCTTTTTCCACCAAAAGTCTAAATGTATACTAAAGTGATTTTTTAATTAAATTTTTGTTATTATTTAATGCTAAAAATATTTTAATGGATTTTTCATATTTATCTGTACTTAACAATGAAATCTGTAAAGTTTTTGTTAATCAACCAACTATGATTTGAACTTTTACTATAACTTCTTCTCCCCATAGTCCCTACCCAGAATACAAACAAGTTGCTAAATATTTAAGTCGAGCATTTTCACGTTTTAGAGCTTTTGGCAGCCTCACTCACAGCGTATGTCCTATCACCAGCTCTACCAAGTTTAGTCCAGATTTAGTCACTTTACTAGCTGACATTAAAAAAGAACCAATAATTACTTGAGCCAGCCAAGGTATAACATTTATGTAGGCTTCGGTTACAATACATGAACTTGAATTTCAACTCTTGTTTTTTAAATACCGACAAGTGATGCAGTTTTCTATTGGAGCATTTAAAAATTTACCAAAAAGGTTATTTTAACTTTCACAGGACTTTGTCATTACGATTCAGACTAGAGTAATAACTTGCTTGCCAGACTAATAGGGTCTAAAACAACATTCATTTAAGCACCTATTCAGTTACAAACCTACATCTGGCATCCATTTCTCCAACAACCCATGCCTGGTGATATAGCAACTTTTAGACTGCCTCCCCAAGACTCCAAATTTTTACAGCATCAACAAGCACAATGGGTTTGGGATTGTTTTGGTTGCTATGCATGCATCTATGAAATAATTCACTAGTTTTGAAAGTAATAGCTCGGTTTTGATTTTTATCAAAAACTTAGAAATCCATTGTGTATTATACCCCATCGGAGAAATACAAAAGCTTGCTATAACAACTGCTGCATTGTGAGGTCAAGCATCAAATTCATAGAAAGGCACTGAAAATTATCTGCTAGGTGAATGGGGTCAATTTTAATGCTTTTCAACATTGACTGCATAAAACTGAACAGTATAACAAAATATATGATTTACACCTTACCAATAATTGAAGAAATAATAAAGAAAATTAAATCTACAAAATATGATCTTACTGGATCTCACCTCTGGCCATTTCCAGATATGTGTGAAACCTGAAGACAAGCCAAAAACTGTATTTAATATCAAATTAGGAGTTTATGTATTCCTTAGAATGCTGTTGGCTTATGTAGGGCTCCCTCTACATTTAGAAATCTCAGATAACGGTCTGTAGTTCATACATCAATGTCTGTAGTTCATACATCATTACGGGAAATGTACACAGGTTTTAACATAAAGCATTTTAAACTGGCCCCTTATCAACTACAGTCAAATATCACAGATTTGATAAATAGAAACACATTTAAAATTATCCACAATTATGTAAATATTATCACCAACATTGGGACCACAACTTTTTAATGAACTCATGTATGCATTAAGATCTGCTAAATATGATACCACTTGTCAAACGCCATCTGAATCATTTCTTAGGAGGAAGTTGATTATGCCCCTTGAAAAACTATCTTTTTTTAAAAAAGTTCAGAAGAATGAAAATGGCAGACATTCAAAAATTGGAGGATAAGGCAACATGCAACTCAAATATGGGCTGGGAAAAGCAAAAATTTTATTATGATGAGAAAAGGTATGAGGTCAGTTTTAAGAATAAAGCATTCACTATCTCGAGGATCAGAATAAAAAATGGAGAAATTCAATAATGAATTCAAAGGTACTTTTTCTTATTCAAGAGAATCAGAGAAACAGTTTTGTACTTAACAGGAAAGAATGGTGAATCTCTTAAGAGTGTAGAAAAATCCCCCAAATGATTTATGTATCGCCGTTAGAGGGCACTTCGCTTCTGAGACAGAATGTTAGGTTTTTAGATTGCGACGTAGTTAGCACTGAACCATCGATGCAATCCAGGTTGCTTTGTATATAAAATAATTATTTTTTGTAGATTGTTGAAGTATTTGACTTCATTTAGAATTAGATCAACCTTTCACAAAATGGTGCACAATGGCCGGGAACCTTTGGCCAATTAAGAAGTTTGTGTATTTTAAGTTTGGATATCATTTTATGTGAAGACAGTCAAGATAAGCCTGTATTTTCTATTTGATATAATATGGAAGATCTTATTGCTAAACTGAAATCAAAACGAAAGGTATTGAAGACCGGAGTGTCCACGATATTAAAGAAAATTAAAACCGAACTGAGTAAAGATGATAGTAGTATAAATGTAAATGTATTAGAAGAAATTTTAGACCAGTTAAACGAAAAATCAAAATTGAGCAATTTAGATGCTTAAATAGAACGAGAATTAAAAGTTGAAGAGGACGAATTTGAACTTGAAATCTCATCCGTTTTGGAATATGAAGAGAAAATTCAAGTGTGCCAGTTTAGAGGAAAGAAAAAGTTGAAAGAATTGAATAAGCTATAAAATTCGGACAATGCAAGTACGGACATTTCTAATGAAACCGTTACAGAATCCCAAAATGAAAGTAACAAATGCACTCGGCTTCCAAAATTAACCATCTCTAAATTTTATGGTGATCCTTTGGATTGGTTAGAATTTATAGGTCAGTTCGAAAATGTGATTGATAAAAATCTGAATTTATCAAAAATAGAAAAATTAATTTACTTAAAAAGCTTTTTTTCTTGGTGGCTCAGCCGCCAAAGCTATTTCTAGTTTCGCTCTCATCGAAAATAATTACGAAGCTGCTCTTGAACTGTTACGTTCCAAATTTGGTCAAACGAACATCTTAATAAATTCACATTTAGGACAACTCTTAAGTACTTCACCTGTTAGGAATTCTAATGATATAAACGGATTAAGAAAACTTCTTGATCCCGCCGAAGTACAGATAAGAAATCTTGAAGCATTAAAAAATAGACTGATACCTACGGAAATCTGTTGACACCTTTAATTTTGAAATTACTTCCTAATGAATACGTTCTTGATTATAGCCAAAAACTTAAAGATGAAAATTCGGATTTAAAAGGCTTGTTAGCTTTTTTGAGGAACGAAGTATTCAGTAGAGAGCGCACGGCTTCTGTTAATTATAATTCTAGAGAGAAATATTCGCGATCGGAAAAGCATCTGCCCTTCAAATATAAACATTCTCCAGCCAAAACAAGCAAGCCGTCTACACTTGAGTTATTAGCATCGTCAGCCGAATCGCAGTGTCTGTTCTGCGGAAACACAAATCATAAATCTGCGGATTGCGAAATTTTAAGTGTAGAAAAGGGATTTTGAAATGGGAAGCACGATGTTTTCTTTGTTTGGGTCGATTTCACCGTATTCAAAATTGTAAACAAAAAATAAACTGTGCCTTCTGCTTTAATAAACACTCGAAAGCCATTTGTTATTCATTTCATCAGAAAAAAGATAATGAAAAACCTGAAAAGAAAACATCGGATTCGAGCGTTATATTCGCTGTTTCGTCATATAATTCCTATGAAAATAGTTCTAATAAAATATTATTACAAACGGCTTCTGCATTGATCTGAAATAATGATAAATCTGAAAATGTCAGAATTCTTTTTGTTAATGGCTCAATGAGATCTTTCATAACTAAAGATACATCTAGTAAAATGAAGCTTCCGACTGTTAGAAAAGAATCACTTTCTGTTTATTCTTTTGGTGATAAAACTGCGTTAGAAAAAACCTTTAATGTTGTTAGAGCAAAACTAGAAAATGTTAGCGATCCTAATCTTAATATATATATTGAGCTTCTTGAAACCGAAAATATAATCTTAATATATATATTGAGCTTCTTGAAACCGAAAATATATCTAATACTGTTATCTCTCCTCCAGATTTGAACTTTGCTAAGAAAAATAAAATTTTACAAAATTTACAATTAGCAGACCGTTGCAGAAAAAGTGACAAAATTGATATTCTCATAGGGGTAGATTTCTACTATTCTATAATTACTGGTAAAATTAAAAGAATTTCAAGAAATGTAGTAGCCACAGAATCTTTATTTGGGTGGTGTTTGCAGGGTAAAGTAAATAATGATCATAGTGACTTATTAACTATGAAAATAATAGTAAATGAAAACTTGATATCAAATCAGTTACAACAGTTTTGGAAGCTAGAAAACTTAGGTTTGGAAAGTGATACTCAAAACAACAAAACTGTTGCTTTAGAAATTATGAAATCTTTCGCATCTGATATCAAGTATAAGAACGACAGATACCAAGTATAATTACCTTGGAAACCCAATTCAAAACATTTAATGGAAGATAATAGGGATATAGCACTTGAAAGATTTAAGAAATTGAGTAACAAATTTAAAATTGATAACTCTTTGTTTGTTCAATACACAGTTTTAAAGGATTACGAGTTAAAACATATTACTGAACCAGTTCAAGAAGACTATCAAAATGATAAAACCCTATTTTATTTACCTCATAGAGCAGTCATCAGAAATGATAGAGCAACAAGCAAACTAAGAATAGTTTATGATGCTTCAGCCCATAAACTAAAAACACTCTGTCTAAATAAATGTTTATATACTGGTCCGAACCTATATCCTGATATTTTTTATTTATAAAATTTAGACAAAATTTGATAGCCTTTACTGTGGACATTACACAAGCATTCTTACAGATAGAGTTAAATGAAGAAGACAGGGACATTACACGATTCTTTTGGAAAGATGATCCTGATGATAACAATGAAAGTTTGAAAATCTTTAGATTTACGAGAGTT